AAATAAAGTATAATCTTTGCTCTTTCATTAACTTTGTAACGAACTGCTACAGTGAAGTAATATTCCACTTGGGCACCGTTGAGAGCCTCTCTTCCGTGTCTTATGTTACTTGTGTTGAATAAAGAAGGCCAACACTTGTAACACTATTATTAACCCTTCTTATATAGTCTTTTTATTAGACTTAAATTAGCTATTACGCAAAAATATAATCATCGATTTTTAGCTTAAAAATATTGTGATCAATATACTATCTCAGAAAATATATTAAATTAGAGTCAATTTAATAATAACTGCCAAATCAAAATATTACTAAATCGGCCAAATAATCATTCTGATAATTTTTTATCAAATGTTCCTAATTAAGACCTTAGTATCACTACCTTAAAAAATTCGCTAAATAAAATTTGTTGTTAAGATAGGGTTAGGCAGTATTATAAATTCAAAAAAAATTTATTGGTGCAAGTGTATATTATATATGAATAACATGTATGCAAAAATTAAAATCATGTTTAAAATATTCGCAAAAAATTTATATATATATCTCGATATATATAAAGTAAAATTATAATATACACAGAGCACCAATTGTTTTCAACAAAATATATGAAAATTTAAGTTTATGTACACTGCATTTATAAGTACTAAGTTAATGAAAGAATCATATAAACAAATATGTAAAAAAGTAAAATATGTGACTTCTGACTTATCTAGTCAAGGAAAAACTGAATGAATAAAGCAAGAAAGTTATAGAAAAAAGACTATTCCACGTATATTTCTTATTAATGATGGAGCTGATTATGGCAAATTAGTGAAGAAATTTCATAAATTTATGATTCGTAAAGAATTAGATTCTTTACATGTTAATATTATTTCAACGGATAATCTATAGGAAGTTAATATGTTTATATTTCAATTATTAACATTTGGAATTGTTTCGCATTAAAGTAATATTGTAACCTTTCTGAATATTTATATATTTATTGAAGTTGCTTCTAGTATAGATAATCGATTGGTAAAGTTATTACCAATAATTAGCTATTTAGATAATCCACATTTTAAATTTAATTTTAAGAAATTAATTGTATCAAATGAGGTTTATAGTCTAATTCAAGTAGTTTGTCAATATTTAAATTTACATGAGAATTATTGAAATTTCTTTTTTTATAAAGATTCAGTACTGCACATATCTAATTTACATCACTAGAATTAGATTTTGCTATTAAGTCAGGTTAGAAAAGGCTTTCTTGATATTGAAATTTTATAAGAAAAACTTTTGGTTATTTTGGTTAGTATGCAGAAGAAAGTTTTATAAGTAAAATGTTGTGCTATAAACGATTTTTTGGTTCGTTTGATTTTTATATTTTTTCTGTAGTAATGTCACATAAAAATCAGCTAATAAAATTGTAGGTTTCAAAAAATAAGAAAAATAAGCAAAATTGAAGCAAAAATTTATATCTAAAGTTCAAAGATAAGTCTCAATAAACACTGTCACAAAGTAAATTAACATATACTTATTAGTCTGGATCGTTTATTTACTAAATTTATAGACTTTTTAACTATTACTATTATTGCAGTATTATTAACTCTACATGCGTTTCTATATCTATATAAGCTTAATATTCTACTATATAACTATCCTACTATCTAATACATATATCCTATTATGTTCTATTATAATTTAAATGACTTAAACAACTATATAAATTAAAAAAAAATAATATAAAGTTAGTTACCTGTAATAATATAGATCTATTATTTTTTAAAAAGTTTTATGCAATAAAACAACGTTTGTACTCACCTTATCTTTTTTAATTGTTACTTTTGTGTATTTTAGTTTATATTTTTATACTCAGAAAAATAGAATTTTGCAAACTTAGCTCACATAATATACTTTTTTTATATATAACTTCATCACATAAATTTAATATGTAGATCAAGTGATTTAGAGTAATTAAACTGATATTATTATAGTACGGTGTGAAAACTTCAAGTTTGCTTAGTACTATAACACATATAAAAAAAATTCTGTATCAATTGAATTATTTGTATAATGATCTGCAAACTCGAGGTATACTTCAGGACAGTTCTACCTCAAGGTTCTTTCTAAAACTCTGAATGATTCAGTTAATCTGTTTCGGATATCTGAATATGGCAATATAGATAAATAGATAACGGATTTATCTGAATTAAAACTCCAGATCTAATTGATTTAAGTCTAATATTATTACTTAAATTTATCTTTAGTTAATAAGTTATTTATAAAAGTAATAATAAATAAAGTATATTCAAGAAATTAACTATTTATAATAATTATGATCTTTTTCTGCTAATTATCAAAACCAATATCAAAACAAAAACTTTTTTACAAAACATATACTAAACTTAAGGAAATCTAGTAAAATATTAGTTCTAAAAAAATACAAGGTATATAGTTCTATCTCTTAATTTGTAACACCTACAAATTTGCTTGCATCTACTTTTAATTTTTGTAATTTTTAAATAAAATTTTAAATATTAATTTTAAATATATATTTTCTAAATAAAATATATTTTTAAATATTGATTTTAATAACTTTGTTAAAAAAGTTTTTTAAATTATTATTAAAGTTTTGAATAATAAATTTTTAAAGTTTTGCTTTAAAAATTTTTATTATAAAATTTTGGTTAAATTTTTTCAAATTTTATATGTAAATAAGACTAAAAATAATTTTTACTTCAAATACAAGTATAAATTTTTATAAGTAAATCATAAAGGTTATAATAATTAAAGTTGTAATCTTTTAAAAATTTTATTAAATTGTTTAATAAATTATACTCAGAACAACTCTTTCTGTCGATCCTCCAACTACTTTTTTTTACAAAAATCTGATCTGCGAAAATTTTTTTCTGCTATAACAGATAACAATATTCTTTTTCTTAGGCTTTTTATGATGTATCGTGAGCAAATAACTCTCTTGTATGAGCTCTTTTTAGCTACGTTATCTGGATATAACTCTTGAACACTATAGGAAAGTAGTAGATATAAAAAAAATTATTAAATACCTCTGTTGTTCTAAGTGATGTTTACTAGTAGTTTGCTAGCAAAGAGATAGCTAGTTCAACAAGTATTTGTACTGTTTTTAGCAAGAAAACAAGTAGCAAAATCTTACTCTCCTAGAAGTGGTTTTCTCTAATATCATCTTTTGGATTTTTTCTCTAACTTATTGGTGTTTTTTGGGGAATTTGGCTTACTCTTCCAAAAGATCTGCAATACACATTGACAAAAATAATTAGGTATTGGCCTGTTGTTTCCTATGCTGTAAACAAACAACAAACACATGTTAGGCCAAACACATGCTATAGGAAACCTGAGTTGTTAATATTCTCTCTGTAATACAGTACTCTACTCCTTTGAGAATTTAAAGAATAACTTTAGTGTTATATATACACAATTTTTACACTGTTCTGAGAGGAACATTTGATTCTTTCTGTTTTTTTGTTTTTGTTGTTTAAAAGTTTTTACCTGTTAGCAGGTTTCCTTTATTTAACTTTTTTATATGACACATGATCTTGTGTCTTTTGTTATATATAAAATTTTTATTTTTCTTTTCATTGCCTACTTATCTTGAATCAGATTGGTATAGGAGAGGAGATGAACAAGAGGTTTTTGACTAGACTTTCAACAAGTTATCAAGGATTTAAATTTGTTCTGTATGCCTCACACAGAAACTTTTGAGGAGTAAATTGTTAGCAAGTTGATCACACTTAGAGTCTCTGAAGGTATCCAAGTAAGTTGTAAATAAAAATTCAATATGTTGGTTTAAGTTAGAGAGCTTTTTTAGACTAGCATTAGTTACGAAGATATGATATAAGGTTTATCTAATATATTATATTATACTTAGGTATTTTGTAGCATGATTATATTGTATCATTAGTTATAAATTGAATAAAATATGAGTGGCAAGATCCTCTTGTTAAAGAGATTAATAAATTATACTTCTAAACTTAAATTAAACAAGTTTGTCTTGAAATACTGATAAAATTTTTGCAAAAATTTTTTTTATAAAATTAGCTATTTTTAGCTTATATATAACCCTAAAT